AAAATACCTGATACTTGAAATTAAGGAAGGAAAGGTTTATTTAGCTCTCTGTATGAGGAGGTTTCATTCTGAAATCAGCTGGTTCCAATGCAGGGTGGCATGGCACAAGGGCAACCCTTCAAGGTGGCAGAACATAGCACCAGCAACAAGAGCAAAGGGGGACAAGACTCATTTCCTCCCTTATGTTGTATGCAGGCTACCGCCCAAAGGTTGGTGGAGTACTCACAGCATCTCTGTGCCCTGCTTTTGCACAGTCTGAGGATGTTTACAAAGTAAGGACCCTGGCTCCCTGCTGAGGTGCCTAGTTAAAATTCTAAGCTTCTCAAGTTGACATATTGTATCAACCATTACAGTGAATCTTTCTTTTCTCTTTTCCTTACATCTTTTTTTGGTCTTTATCTACTGATCTTACTTAGAGTTTTTTCTCTTTCATTTTATGTGTTATTATTATTATAATTCACAGTGTTCTATATTTTATTCTAATATATTATTAGATATAATACATGATATATGATATGTTATATTATAATATCATTTTTATTTTTATCTGTGCTGATAATTTATCTGTGATGATATTCTTGCATATTTGTTCAACACTATTTTTGTGGAATATCTTTTTTTTTGGTACCGGGAATCGAACTGAGGACCTTGTGCTTGCCAGCAGGCCTTTGTGCTGCTGAGCTATATCCCTGCCCCATGGAATATCTGGAGTGCAAGGTTACCACTTACATATCTTTTTCTCTGGTCTATTTCATAGTGTTATAGGCAGCTGAGTGAGATAGAAATACAGGCAGTCAGACAGGGCCAGGTCCTCGAAGGAGCCAACATGAAAGATAGGTATTTGCTGTGGGTCAGACCTCGGGACAAAGGACTAAACAAATGCATACACATACCTCCCTCAGAATGGACATCAGGGATTGATATTTTACATGAGTAGTGATCACCTTGAAGAGTTCTTGACCCAACCCTTACAGGAAAAGCCCCTGTTCTATATTCATGCCCTCTACATGACTAGCTTCCTCATTTGATCCTGGTTTAATCAATTTGACCTGAACAATTCTTATTGGCTGACCATAGTTTTGTCCATTTTCCCCTACCTTGGACACACCTCCCCTCGTGGTTTTGCTCCATAAAAGTCCCCAGAAGGGGCCTGGGGATTTAGCTCAGTGGCACAGCGCCTGCTTGGCAAATGCCAGGTCATGAGTTCAATTCCTGGTACTGGAAAAAAAACAAAAACAACAACAAAAAAAAAGAGAGAATATTTGCAATTCTTAGATTTGACAGCACATTGCATCTTTTTCTAAAGTATTCATATTTTCTATAAAAATTTAATCTGATTTTCTGCAAGAATCTTATTTATAAAGAAACATACACTTAACTTTGTTAAATGTCTCTGTTTCCTAAGAGCATGCTTTAATTTTACCTCCTTATTAATCATCTTTATAGTGTGTTGGTATTTTTTCTGATCCAATATGACATATTGGTCTTTTTTTCTATAACTGTTTTACTGTTTAACTTATATCCTTATATTTTCATGATAACTGCAATACTTCTCTTTGTAATGCAGGGTTTTTGTAAGCATTTCTTTTAGGGCCAGGCTGGTAACAAAAAATTCCCTCAATTTTTTTTCTTCTGAAAAGATATCATTTACCTGTGCTTTTTGAGAAATTATTTTCCTAATGATAGCATTCCTTGTTCATGTTTCATTTTTTACAGCTGCATAAAGAGAATACCCTAATATTTATTTCTGTAAAGTTTTCTACAGAGAAAGCAACAAGTTTGTTGTTCATTCAGTAGAGATTTTGAAATATATGACTCAATCTCATCGTTTTATAATTTCGGTTTGTATTGGATTTTTGATAGATGTATTATAATATACCTTGAAGAAGATGCTTTATGAAGTCTCCTAAAGGTCCTTTGAGATTCATGGACTTGGATGGATTTATATTTCCAAAGATTTCTAATATTTTCAACAAATATTTTGTAAAAATGTTTTATTCTTTCTTCTTGCTTTCCTTTCTGCAACACTTCTAGTGTAAAGGATGACTTTCTCACTTAATAAATCTCAAAATTGTCACAGTTTTCTCTGTTTATTTTAATTTTTTCCTTTTCTTGATCTAATTCAATCTCATTAAGCAATGTATCATCAAGTTCCATAGTTATTTATTCTACCAAATTTATTCTGTTGTTGACATTTTTATTACCTTTTTAATGTATTAAACACTTTTTGGAGATTTCTTTTTTGCAATGTTATGTCTCTTTATAACCATTAGTATCAATTGTATTTCAGTTATATATCATTTATGTTTCTCTAAAATCTGTCCCTAATAAAATTTTCCTGTTCCATATTGGTTGTCAAGGAAATTTCCTATTATTTATTCATTCATTCATTAATTTATTCATTTATTTATTTATTTAGCACTTTTAGTGTCCCTACAATTCTATCTGGGTGTGTCAGGTGCATTGCATCAGCAAATGACTTAGGACGATTTCACCATAAACTCTGTGTGCATAGGCTTCAATGGATTGATGCCAGCTCTGTGCTTTAGGGTTGTGTCACTTTAGCTTCTTCAGGTCAATTCAGTGCGTGTGATGTCTGTGGATGTCTTTCTCAGTGGCCTAGGTATAGGAACTGTGTGAATGCACTGCTACAAGACATAGATCTCTTCTGGCAGATCAGGTTGGGAGCTTAGGTTGTGCTACAGTAGTTTAAATCTGTTGGCTCTGTGAGCTTATATGGCTGAATTGTGTATGGAATGGAGTCGGCTTGGTGTCTTCCTCAGTAGGTCTATGTGGAATTGTTGGAGTACTATCAGATTGTGTGTTCGTGTAAGCGTGCATGTGTGTGTGTGTGTGTGTGTGTGTGTGTGTTGGTTTTGTCAATGTATTAGGGTTGCCAGCAGCCATAGTGCTCAGGTGGGCCCAGGAAGACAAGCAGTCATTGTTCAAAAGCTGCCAGAATTCCCTCAAGAAATCCAAGCTGTTTAGTGCAGGTTTGCAAGCTGCTTTCTACAGGTGTTAACATGTAAAAACACCTCCCAATTTTCTACTTCTCAGATTCTTTGCAGGCCAAGCACCTGAGAATGAGTTGCTCATTTTCTTCATGGGACCATAAAAGGTTGGGGAAGCCCCCTGGAGGATCCCTGAGAGATTCAGCATACTAAGCCCTCTTGGCTTCTTCTGGGAGCCAGGATGTGTAGTCAGGGTCCTTTTTTTGCTTCACAGGCATGCTGTGAACATGGTCACTCAGTATGGGCTGCCTCTCTAATTTCCATTGCTGAGGGCAGTGCTGTCTGCTACGGTCCTAGTTCTAAACCTTCAGGGTATTGGTGGAAATGTCTGGCTGATTCCTGGGAAGCTGTTGGATGCGATGAGATATTTAAATGTTTCCTGAGTGCCTCTCCCAGCTGTGTCACTTGGCAGAGCTGCTGAGACACTGCCCAAGGCCAACTGGACAGGTCAGCAGCATCATGTCCTAAGACCAGGTTGGCCATGTGCCCTGAAAAGCAGTTGTCCGAGCCTGAAGGTGGTGATAATCACTATGGCCTTGGCCAAGAGGGCAAGATTAGGCCTCAGTTCATTCTTTAGGGCAATGAAGCAGCATATTATACTCCTTGCTCCTCAGATTGAGTGCTGGTGACACGCAGGCTTGTCCAACAGTGTAGAATCTGATATGCACAGCAAGAGTGGAAAGTGCCTGAGATCCCTGCTTTCGCTTCTCTGGCCCAGAGAATTGTCT